AACATTTCATTAAACCTTTTTACATATTAACTATTAATCTATCAGCTGGTTTTCGAATTCTTTCAGATCTTCGAATAATATTCTGATTTTCATCAAGTGATTTAACAATACTAGGTTTTGAAAAACTTGATACATTAGAATCAGGAATGTTTTTCAATAGGAACAACATTTTTACTCTGATTAGATGGTTCAACAACTTTAGTTTGATCTAAATCAACATCTGAATTAGGAATAGAGCCAGTTTCATCATCGTCAAATCTTTCCATAAGATGATCAATATGAACTTGACATTCACGATATCCGATTTTAACCAAATATCTGACAGCATTTAAACATTTTACAATTCTACCATAATACCATTTAGGATAATTACTTCTTACATTTAAAATTCTTACTTTCTCACCTTCAACAAATTGTCTAACCTTACGATTAACATTTCTTTTAGCAATTTCATCATTTTGCTTAGACTCTACTCTTTGTTGAATATTCGGCCTTAATAAACTAAATCTTGTTCTAACTTCACAGTTAAGTAATAATTCACTAGGTTTACGATTAGTTACAGTATGAGGTGTATCTAACCCTAACCCTAAAACTTTTAACGTTTTGTTAGCAGAAGTAATTCATTTCTTCAATTTCTAACCTCTAACACACTGAGGCACCTTGAACAATGCTTTTGGTGTTGATGGGAGTCGCTTCAACTGTGGAGTTTCCAGGTCAGTCTCAATACTTTTTTGAGTCGTGGCCATTGTTTTCGACACTGAACACTCTTCCACCCTTTTTTCTGTGAATTTTTCTCCGATGCGGTGAGGGTGATTCGTCTGCCTCACTGCTACTCTCTTCTATAGCAGATTTCTGTACTTTTTCCTTTTCCTCTAACTCCCTTATTCTTTCTTGAAGTCTTTCTACTTCTTTCTCCGCTTTTTTATCCTTCTCTTGTGAGTCTTTTTTCATTTTCTCAATGTCTTTTTTATACTGTTTGAGTTTACTCATAGTAAAATATTTCAGAGCGAAAAATTCTATATTCAAATCCTCTACTAATTCTTCCTCATCTGTTTCCTCCATTCTGGCGCAGAGTGATTCATCCATCCTAAATGTAAAGACAAAACATATTTATATATTAACCAGTGTTGGCATGAACGGAAACCGAATTATAACCTGGGTTAAATCAGATTGAACCTAGGTTGAAACTGGGTTTGCACTATTGTCAACCCAGGTTATACTTTTATAAGACCAGTTTTATATGGAACTAATACATATTAATAACTAAAGGATGCTTGAGGTAATAACTTTTCACAAATTATGTGCGTTCGTTCTTGAGGATTTGGCATTTGAAAATGTAATGGAATTCATCACCTACTTCATCTACATTGCAGAGAGAGCAAATACGATTTTATACTGGGATATTTATGAAAACCCCGGCTTCAATTGGAAGTCTATGACTTCGACATCTAAATTTACTAAGGTATTGTCTGTACTTCAGAGGTAAATCAATTAGGTAATGTTCAAAATTGAACGTGGATTTAAACAGCCGATAATTTAAACATTTATTATGTACAGTGTTATTCCATTCTTGTTGATATTGATCTTTTAGCCTTAACAGTAAAAATGGTTTCAACCAGTTAGCATTAATATCACGGGCTTGGGTGTCCCAAATATTGTCTAAAGTGCTTTTTATGGAGTTCAACCATATATTAGACTTATATGATGTATACAGAGCATTATACAATTCACAGGCAATTTTCGATTGAGGACCAGTTACAAGTTTATACCAGTAATTAACCATTCTATATTTTATATAAATTTGCAAAGGCTATACACCAAGCTCACCATAGACCATGACATTTGGGGTAGAAGTTTTTACATTCAGTAAATATTTACAAAATCTAACAACCGTACAGGGCAATAGGTACTACAAGACAATTAAACAAATGTATCTGTGTATCTACATCGAGATTTAATTTACGAGCTTTTTTGTAACAGAGAAAACATTGCTGAAGATGCTTTGAGTTTTTTCTTGGCCTTGACAAAAGAACCGTTATAATTAAAAAGTATACCAAGATAAGCATATTCAGGAACATTTTCTATCTCAACATCTCCATACGTAATTTTAGGTGTATTCCTAATTTTACCTTTCGAGAATACAATAGTTTTAGTTTTGGATGAATTAATTTCAAGTTTCCAGTGTGAACAATATTCTAACATGGAGTTGAAAGCAGCTTGTAATTCAAATTCACTTTCTGCTAAGAGGACAGTGTCGTCGGCATACAAGAGAGCAAATAGTTTAAGAAATACGCCTACATTTTCAACATCAGTTTCATGAACACTTAAACCTTTATAGTGTTGGGACAAAAATGATGACAAGTCTTGCAAATAAATGGAAAACAGAAGAGGGGACAGGTTTTCACCTTGACGAACTCCAACTGAACAATTAAACATATCAGATCTGTTTTTGTTAAGACATACACATGATTTAGCATACTTATACAAGTTATATGAATAACTCGGAATATTTTGCCTGTTACGCCACAATCTAACATTTGCTCTCTAGGGGCAACCTGGGGATCTTATCAAATGCTGATCGATAATCGATGAATCCGGCATATATTCGTTTGTTATTAACAAGATACAAATCAATAAGACATTTAAGACAAAATACATGATCAAGTGTGGAATAATTTTTCCGGAAACCTGCTTGTTCGGGTCCGAGCTTAACATTTGATTCTAGAAATTGTGTTAGTCTGTTATTGATAACTGAGGTGAACAATTTACAGAAACAACTTAAAACGTTATCCCACGATAGTTACAGACATCATCTTTACTACCTTTATTTTTATAAATTAGAAAAATCATTCCAGAGCACCACTGGGTAGGTACAAGTCCTGTATCCAAAATCACATTAAATAACATCACATATATCGGTATCATTGTCAGTTTTGAACATTTGATATATTCATTTAGAATTTCGTCCGATCCATGTGACTTATTGTTTATCAAATTATCAATACAATATTCAATCTCAGATTCCGTAATTGGCTCATTGATATCATCATCACTCACTGCACAGTCATCCAACGAGAAGTCATCTGAAACAAAGTTATTTTCGTCGATTTGGTTTACGTTTTTAAAGTAATCATATAACGAATCTAAACTCACATCAGACGTATAGGACCATGTTTTGTGACAAAAGTTTCCAATATTCTTTG